CCACATCATCCTTTTTATGCATGTTGTCTTACTCCAAGCTGTATAGGCTCGAAAGCCTACTATCAATTAAGCATATTAGGTGATGTGCATCTCTGTAATGAGAAGGGGTGTGGTCTAATGACATCAACACCCTATATCAGGTGTGCATAATTATTAGGCAACTTCCTTTCCTTTGGCAAAATGGGTCAAAAGAAGGACTTGACAGGCTCAGAAAAGTCAAAAATAGTGAGATATCTTGCAGAGGGATGCAGCACTCTTAAAATTGCAAAGCTTCTGAAGCGTGATCATCGAACAATCAAGCGTTTCATTCAAAATAGTCAACAGGGTCGCAAGAAGCGTGTGGAAAAACCAAGGCGCAAAATAACTGCCCATGAACTGAAAAAAGTCAAGCGTGCAGCTGCTACGATGCCACTTGCCACCAGTTTGGCCATATTTCAGAGCTGCAACATCACTGGAGTGCCCAAAAAGCACAAGATGTGCAATACTCAGAGACATGGCCAATGTAAGAAAGGCTGAAAGACGACCACCACTGAACAAGACACACAAGCTGAAACGTCAAGACTGGGCCAAGAAATATCTCAAGACTGATTTTTTTCTGGGTTTTATGGACTGATGAAATGAGAGTGAGTCTTGATGGGCCAAGATGGATGGGCCCGTGGCTGGATTGGTAAAGGGCAGAGAGCTCCAGTCCGACTCAGACGCCAGCAAGGTGGAGGTGGAGTACTGGTTTGGGCTGGTATCATCAAAGATGAGCTTGTGGGGCCTTTTCGGGTTGAGGATGGAGTCAAGCTCAACTCCCAGTCCTACTGCCAGTTCCTGGAAGACACCTTCTTCAAGCAGTGGTACAGGAAGAAGTCTGCATCCTTCAAGAAAAACATGATTTTCATGCAGGACAATGCTCCATCACACGCGTCCAAGTACTCCACAGCGTGGCTGGCAAGAAAGGGTATAAAAGAAGAAAATCTAATGACATGGCCTCCTTGTTCACCTGATCTGAACCCCATTGAGAACCTGTGGTCCATCATCAAATGTGAGATTTACAAGGAGGGAAAACAGTACACCTCTCTGAACAGTGTCTGGGAGGCTGTGGTTCCTGCTGCCCGCAATGTTGATGGTGAACAGATCAAAACACTGACAGAATCCATGGATGGCAGGCTTTTGAGTGTCCTTGCAAAGAAAGGTGGCTATATTGGTCACTGATTTGTTTTTGTTTTGTTTTTTGAATGTCAGAAATGTATATTTGTGAATGTTGAGATAGTTATAGTTACATAGTTACATAGCTGAAAAGAGACTTGCGTCCATCAAGTTCAGCCTTCCTCACATTTGTTTTTTGCTGTTGATCCAAAAGAAGGCAAAAAAACCCAGTTTGAAGCACAATTTTGCAACAAGCTAGGAAAAAAATTCCTTCTTGACCCCAGAATGGCAGTCAGATTTATCCTTGGATCAAGCAGTTATTACCCTACATTGAAAGATTATATCCTTGAATATTCTGTTCTTGCAAGTATGCATCTAGTAGCCGTTTGAACATCTGTATGGACTCTGATAAAACCACTTCTTCAGGCAGAGAATTCCACATCCTGATTGTTCTTACAGTAAAAAAACCTTTCCTTTGCCTTAGACGAAATCTTCTTTCTTCCAGTCTAAACGCATGGCCTTGTGTCCTATGTAAAGTCTGGTTTGTAAATAGATTTCCACACAATGGTTTGTATTGGCCCTGAATATATTTGTATAATGTTATCATATCCCCTCTCAGGCGACGTTTTTCTAAACTAAATAGGTTTAAATTTGTTAACCTTTCTTCATAGCCGATATGTTCCATTCCTTTTATTAATTTTGTAGCCCGCCTCTGCACTTTTTCTAGTGCCATAATATCCTTCTTTAGAACAGGTGCCCAAAATTGCACAGCATATTCAATATGGGGTCTTACCAGTGATTTATAAAGAGGCAAAATTATATTCTTGTCCCGAGAATGAATGCCCTTTTTCATGCATGACAATACCTTACTGGCCTTGGCCACTGCTGATTGACATTGCACATTGTTGCATAGTTTGTTGTCTATAACAATTCCCAAGTCCTTTTCATGTGTTGTTATCCCTAATTCGCTTCCATTAAGGGTATACGTTGCTTGTGTATTCTTTACGCCGAAGTGCATAACTTTGCATTTTTCAACATTAAATTTCATCTGCCATTTGAGTGCCCAGTCCCCCAGTCTATCTAAATCCCTCTGCAGCAAAGTAATATCTTGCTCACATTGTATTGTTTTACAAAGTTTGGTGTCATCTGCAAACACTGAAACATGACTTTCAATGCGGTCTTCAAGATCATTTATAAAAATGTTAAATAAAAGGGGTCCCAGCACAGACCCCTGAGGGACACCACTTGCCACCTCTGTCCAGCTTGAAAATTTACCATTAATGACAACTCTTTGTACTCTGTTTTTAAGCCAATGTTCTACCCAAGAACAAGCATTTTCATCTAGACCGATTTCCTTGAGTTTGAACACTAATCTATTGTGTGGAACTGTATCAAATGCCTTGGCAAAATCCAAAAAGATCACATCCACGGCAACACTCTGATCTATACTTCTACTTACTTCTTCGTAGAACGCAATCAAGTTAGTTTGACATGACCTGTGCTTCATAAAACCGTGCTGATTTTTGCTTATAACCATGTTCTTCTCAAGGAATTCTTGAATATTATCCCTTAATAACCTTTCAAATATTTTACCAGCCACAGAAGTTAAGCTCACAGGTCTATAATTTCCAGGCAAGGATTTTGAACCCTTTTGTTATATTGGTTTCACTGGTAATAATAAATAATTGAAATGGGTATATATTTGTTTTTTGTTAAGTTGCCTAATAATTATGCACAGTAATAGTCACCTGCACACAAAGATATCCCCCTAACATAGCTATAACTAAAAACAAACAAAAAACTACTTCCAAAAATATTCAGCTTTGATATTAATGAGTTTTTTGGGTTCATTGAGAACATGGTGGTTGTTCAATAATAAAATTAATCCTCAAAAATACAACTTGCCTAATAATTCTGCACTCCCTGTATGGGTATCCAACATCATATGTTCACAGAACATCCCAACAATCAAGTGTTTCTCACCTCCTACCCCATTAAAACCCTCCTTAGGGGTATGCTCAAATCACAGGGACCAACACCGCAACGTAGCTGGCCTATAGACATACATCTGTTTAAATGTTTGTCAAACCTACTGGATATCATACCGTTCGAACCCCTTACTAACACCACTCTTAAAACTGCCATATACTTGGCCTTTTATGGTTTCGTACGACCCAGAGATTTTACCATTACTAGCCAACACGAGTCCAAGCATTGCCTCTGGTATTCTAACCTGTACAAGAAGCAGGACCACTACATATTAAGCTTACCTTCGACTAAGACCAGCCAGATGGGTCACAAGGTTCTTATTCAGTTCTACCCCACCAACAATGCATGGTGCCCGGTGGAAGTTTTTAACACCTATCTACAGTCATCACCTACACAAACCTCACTCCCTGTCCTTTCACTGCACGGTACAGCACTCACTACCACCAGATTTGTTATGTATATTCGCTTACTATTAACCAGACTTGGCTTAAACTCTGCAAACTATTCTGGGCATTCATTCCAGATAGAGGCAGCCTCCACGGCCTCAGGCCTAGACATCCCGGTTCACATAATAAAAACATTGGGCCGCTGCAAGTCATCTGCCTACGCTGTTTACATACTGCAGCCAACACAGGCATGTGTTTGTGAAAATGTCATCGTAAATATGTTAACTCCATGTCTTGTGTTTTCGTAAATAAATATCTTTGATAACACTTTATCGGTATTCCTTTTTGCCCTCTTATTTACAGGCCCACCACACATTGGTTTCGGCACACCTCTACCGACTTTTAATTATTATGATAAGTACTTCATACTATACTGAAATGGCCCCGAATAAAAATTGGAAGGTGGGGCCTAAAGTTGTGGGAGGGGCTATATCCCTTTAAAAGGGACTCCCCCTCTTACCTCACTTACCGTCTGGTCCAGATGCTTGTTTGGCCCACCCTCATCTCCCTCTATTCAAATACTATTTAAGGTGGGCCCTCTTATTTACTCCGTTTTTTAACCAATTTTATTTGGAAAGATACTTATTTTTTAGTCACCTGTGACGTCCAATCACTGTATACAATTATCCCTCATGACAAAGGCTGCTCTGCCGTAGAAAAAATTCTAAGGGCAGAAAAAAGAATCCCAGACCAACAGATTAGTTTTATAATAGAAGGTATTAATATTATTTTAAAAAATAACTACTTTTGGTTTTTAGATTCTTTTTATCTACAGAAACAAGGGACAGCTATGGGGACCAGGTTTGCACCTAGCTATGCCAGCCTTTTTATGGCAGAGTGGGAAACCACAGCCATTCCTGGGGAGCATGGCTGGAAGACAAACCTGGTCACATATTTTAGATATTTCGATGATATGTTTTTTATCTGGGAAGGCACAGAGAGTTCTCTTAACCAGTTTTTATCCTTTTTAAACCAAAACAATAATGGTATAGTTTTAACGCCAATCTGCTATACATTTTTTAGATCTGGAAATTTTTATTCAAAACAATAAGGTTCATACTAAAACTTAAAAAAAAAAAAAAAAGTCTGTACAAACAATGTTATAGATATGTTCAGCTGCCAACACAAACCATGGTTACATGGAATACCTAAAAGTCAGTTCCTCTGTTTATGTAGGAATTGCTCTCTCACCCAAGATTTTGGAGACCAATCCCGTATGCTGCTATGCAAATTTTCACAAAACAATTATCCTGCTAATAATTTAAATCAAGCTATTAATAAAGTTAGAGAAAAAGACAGATTGGATCTCTTAGAATACCAAGAGAGAACTAGCTCTAAGAATGTTCCATCATTGCCAATTATCTTCGACTTCAATAACAAAAATAATGTTATGAAGAAGATTATTAATAAACATTGGCATATATTGAAACAGGATGAGATTCTAGCTGGGATTATCCCCGATAAGCCACACGTTATATTTAGGGGGGCACCTAGCTTTAAATCCATCCTCACAAAGAACTATACAAAACAAAATCAAACTACCTCTCCTCTCTGTCCCCCCTTTTTTCCTAACAAGCCAAAGGGTTTCTTTAAATTCAACAAATGCATAGTATGTAAACATACGGACGAGAACATCAAATCAAAAATTACCTCTTTCAAATCATTTATTACTAAAAGAACATACTCTATAAAAAATGTTATTCATTGCAGCTCTAAAAATGTAATATATCTATTGGAATGCCCATGTTGACTTCAATATGTGGGCATGACAACCAGAGCGCTAAAACTCAGATTGGCAGAACACTGCCGAAATATCCGAAAGGGATACGAGAACCACTCGGTATCTAAACACTTCTTAATACATGGTAAAAATCCTAAATTGTTAAAATGCATAGGTATAGATATCTGTAATATCCCCTGGAGAAAAGATTTTAGGTAGTAAGGAAATGGAATAGACATTTAATTTAAAAACCCTTACCCCTCAAGGTCTTAATATAGATTTTGATTTATTTAATTTTCTTTAATGGAAGTAAAATAATCTTCTATCCACCCCCCTTTTTCCCTGCTTTTTTCTGTTTTTATAATTAATTATTTTATGTATTTTATATGTATTTTTTATTTATTCTTCTACATAATTTTTAAGTCTATATTTTTATGTATTTTTATGCATTGTATATAATTTATATTATCTTTTAAAATTTATATCATTTGGAACTTCTTACATATATTTTAATACTTAGTTTCTATAATAATTTATTATCCCATATATTTTATTTACTGCCATGTCAAAACTATACACAGTTACAGAGGTTTTCATTATATAAATAACTTTTCTTTTATATATTTTTTTCCCCATTTGGTTGCCTATGCTATACAGCATATCGTCTGTTCGTCAGCATGAATCAGACGACATGCTGACAGCTTGCTTCACGATCGCCAGAGGCCTCCTCCCCTCTGGTGACGTGTAGCTGCTAACACTGCACCCGGCCGGCACTCTGCCTCTGGACGCATGCGTTCCTTTACTATGGAACGCATGCGTTCCACTACACCCACGTGATGCTGAAGTCTCTCACTAACGCGTACGTCACGTGATTTATGTTTTATTTTAATTATCTATTTCCTGCACCTTGTTTTTATGTTATTTTATAAAAAATGACTATGTAAACGTGTACATAAGCTCTTTATGTTACCATTATGTTATTTTAATATGTACCTAAAATCGAAGTATGTGATGACGTCATTTTGGCGGGAATATTCAAATTCCAATACACTGAACATACCATATAAAAAGCAATGTTAGTCAGGTTACTGTTTTTACTATTATTCTCCTGGAAGAAGCCTGTTGTGGGCAAAACGCGTTTAGAAATTGTTTTAATATTTTTATACTGTCATAATAAAGGAATTTTGGCCTCAAACTTTTTTCTGCCACATTCCTTATTTTATTTCTAATTTTTATTTTAAACCTGACTAACCTGAGCCAATACGGATTTACGGAAAATCCTTAGGTGGGGATCATACCACCCATGCGCTAAAAACTGAGCAGAGAAGAATGCTCAATACTTTGTAAGTACATTTCATACCTTCCTTTTAACTTATATCAAACAGTGAGCACTATATTCTCCTTATTTGTTTTAATTTTCGGTCGGAATCTTCGGTGGATCACTTACTTTACAAGTCACCGCTCCATACATCCTTGAGTGGGGATCATTCCAATCCACGCATTCCATACCAGAGCTGGATTTTAGCTCTGGAAATTGTGAGTAATTCCAATTTATTTGCACATATTTTCTTCTATATCAACATACTGTACCATTGGTTGTCTTTTTAATTTTTCCACATATGGCTTATTGAAAAATACAATTCATCTCCTGGGAAAAGACTATACTACGCTACAAAGAACACTCTTCATTTATCTGTGGACTATATATTTGGACTTTTTTACTTCAATTGAATACCTATATTTTATATTTCGGACTTTTTTAAATTTAATTTTATATTTATATTTTATATACCTTTACAAATTTTCATTAAAGGCGCGCCCTATTTCCTTTGATTTTCCTCTTATTTACAGGCCTACAACACACGTTGGTTTGGCACACCTCTACCGATTTTTAATTATTATGATAAGTATACTCACTAGCTATTTCATACTATACTGAAATGGCCCCGAATACAAATATTTTGTATGGTACACTTCTTTTTGCCCTCTTTATTACAGACCTACTACCTTGTCAGTTCCAGCACACCACAACCGACTGGTGTTATTAATTAGGATGTTATTACCTATTATATGTTATCTAACCATTGTGTCAATATTGCCCCGACCACAAATTTAAGGATGGGCCTGTTGTTGTGGGAGGGGCTTGGGTCCTCTTCATAAGGGCATCCAATACTCTCCCACATTATTGTGGTCGGTCTGACGAGTCACCCCTCCCACCACTCCCTTTATTCACATCACCCTCTAAGATGGGCCCTCTTTATTACAGGCCTACTACCATGTCGGTTCCGGCACACCACAACCGACTGGTGTTATTAACTAGGATGTTATTACCCATTATATGTTATCCTGGACATGACGGGTGAAACACGTTTCGGAGGAGCAGCAAGGACATATTTACTTTGCTATTTGCACATAACCTTTATTGTTTTTATCAAATCATATGTTTGTATGCATTAAATTGTTTCTTTAGTCCAATCAGCTACTCCTGCCTCCTGACATTAGCATTGATAAAGGGTTATTGCCGAAATGTTTGTTTTACTTTGTCCTTCTGAAATTAAAGGTGTAGCACCAGGGGGTGCACTGCAAATTCAAGTTGCGCAAGACTCCTATCTTTTTTCCTGTTTGGGTTTACCAATCAGAGTGATGCAATGTCATCTAGTGGGACGCTGTTCCCTAGTTGAATGTCCCACCAATCCCCGGGCTCAGATCAAACAAGGGGGTAGGGTTCAGTCTAAACGGCCAGCCCCCTATCACAACCCCATTCAGCTCACTTTAGTTAACCCCTGGTGTGCTAAAGAAAGTACGATGGAGGAGCATGTCGCCCCCAAGATCAATTTGTATGAGTGCGTTTTTATTACCCATCACCTATCAATCAACAAGTGCTCATAGGGGGAAAATGCAGAAAGTCCCAAGAGCTATCCTACTGGTGTAAGGATGTTAATCCGAATGATTGTGTAAATAATATATTTATAGGGTTAACCTTTTGTTAACCCCTGATGGTTTTAAGAAAATACAATGAAGGAGCATATCGCTCCAAAAATCTTTTTGTATGAATGCACTTCTATTAATTATCGTTCATTATTCAACAAGTGCTCATGATGATGATATCACTCTGATCCCCATAGAGGGGGAGGAACAACACCCCTTTAAATGTGGGCACAATGCAGTAGCAATTCAGCTCTTGATAAAGGTGGATAGTTATGCGGAAACGCACGTCGATCCTATGTGTCGATGTATCAATACGAGATTTACTTGATTTTATAACTTTTTTTGTTTGTGTGTTTAAAGATTAAGTTTATTTACTTATAAGGTTGAGAGATACTACCTGTAACGGCACCCCGAGTATAGAAGGGGTTAAAGCCGTTTAGGATATTCCCTTCCCGAACACGAAGGCAGCAACCGAACACTCCAATTAGCCGAACAAGCAAGCATACAAATAATCAACACTCCAAACAGCCGAACAGGAGAACCATACGAATAATCCCCCCAAGTACGAGACGAGGCTCTGTATTGAGGGTCAAGCATGAATCTGGTTTAATGTGGGCTACATGCCCGCCTTTTATGCAGGTCTTCCACCAGGTGGACACTCCCAGAGGGGACCTGGTGGAAAACTGTGACAAAAATAGTACAGTAACCAATCACAGTGTTACAGACATAAACACTCCCCTCTAACTTTATAGGACCCTCCTCTCTATCCTGGAGATAATTGGGAAGTAACTCAATTATCTCCGAGGATAGAGGACAAACTTCATGTTGGGCTCCATGGGATAGCTATCTGGGGTAGCTCTGTTCTCATAGCCAAAGTCCCAAACAGCACGGCATTCGTATAAACGAATGAGAACAGGACGAAGGAGGTCGGTATGTCAGCGATGTTCGCATGGAATAGTGTCCGTTTTTAGTTCCAGAGAATCATCGACGAACACCGCCTCGTGTTTGTTCATACGAACGACAACCACCCAGCCAACCATTAAACAAGGGGAAGTGTCTGCGGTTAACCACAATGTTCTAATGAGGCCAAGAGGTTAACAAGCAGCACACTTCCCCGCTGGGTGGACGGCCGTTCAGCAAGTATTTCGGTAAAAAGGGAAAATAACATAGGAATCGTATGCACAGGGAAATGAACGAACAAACAGACGAATGAGCATAACATAAAAGTAATTACAAGACAGAGGGATCTGTCACACTACCATTTATTTTCCTGGGGCTATGATTTACTTAGTCTAGATTTAACTTTAATAAAGAGGGGTGGCTGCCTTGAAGCAGCTGTACTCTAGGGTAGATAGGTCTGGATAACATAGTTTCGCTCACTTACCTACATCCTAGCCGTGTTATTACTTCCCCCTCCCCCTTCACTGATACTGCCTTCATGCCATTAGGACTATATCACTTTATTTATGTTTAAGCATTTTGTTTTACCCCTGCATCTAACATCGAGTTTAGATAAATGCTCTATATGAAGTAATACGTAAAACCAATAAATTGTTAGCTACTAGTTCCTAGGGTATCCTAAGGGTTAAACGTTATCCATTCAGCACCAGTATTGGGTTTGGAGTTAACCTCAGGACTTTTCCTGTATAAACCACAGAAATGTGCAATTCATTTCATTCCGAAGTGCCAAAGTGACGCATTCTAAGAAGTTCTTAACCGAATTGCCGAAGTACTTGGAATTTCTGAAAAATGGCATAACAAGAAAGGGATGGAAAATTACGTGAATGATGACAGGGGTAAGGTCAGGGTATAGGGTTAGGGGTTTGATACATACCAATCTGGGATATAGTTGATGTGAAGGTATGTCTTTTTGCTGATAATACTAAGATACGTAACAGGGTTGATGTTCCAGGAGGGATAAGCCAAATGGCAAATGATTTAGGTAAACTAGAAAAATGGTCAGAGTAGTGGCAACTGACATTTAATGTGGATAAGTGCAAGATAATGCATCTTGGATGTAAAAACCCAAGGGCAGAGTACAGAATATTTGATAGAGTCCTAA